ACCCAAACAAATTTTAAATATAGTATAACTGTTAATATTTTATTATTTGCATGTCCAGTAAAACAAAATGAATTACGTATATTATTATTATCCTCTGTAATTCTATATTATTCATTTCTTAATTAAATATTTATGTTTAATTTATGTTTCATTCCTGAATTCGTAATAACACTTAGTTTAATGATAATGAACTTATTATTACTGTCATAATTATCAACTATTTGTTTGTTTTCTTTTACTTTATTCATTATTATTTCTTCAAGTGTTAACCTGTAATTTTTTATTCGACTTTTAATAAGATTGTGTATAATGTCATTCATTCTTCTGCACTGTGCTGTGTCTGTAATTGGCCTTGCGGCTGTTGACTCGGCACATTAATAATAAAGAATTGAATTGAATTGAATTATTCCAGCTGCTGCTGTTATTATTATGGCGATGATGATGCAACCTTAAAGATATGTAAGACATTACTAAAATCCACTTCCTAAAAATACCTTTTCTCTTTTGGGATGCCAAATTCTTAAATTATTACTTAAATCAAATTTCAGGAAAACAATTCTCATGTCTTGAATCAGTTATATATTTTTTTAAAAGGCACTTAGTAGCATCAGTGACAGTGAAAATGGTGGGAAAAAATTATATAGATTATTTATTAAACACTAACCAACACAAGATATGCCTAAAAAAAATTCTGACATCTGGATGTCTAACTTCAGACCACAAATCTTACTCTAAGCTGCAGAGATTCAACAAAGCTATGCCACTGACTCTCTTCTCCAACACAGAATTGTACAGAAAGGCAATGAAAAGGAATGACATCATTGGTTAAGTTTATGTGAATAAAATTACACACTTACACAAAGACATACACATCCTAACAAATTTTATGCCCACTTACTTTTGGTCAGCCCATTTGCAGTACCCGCTTATTATGATTTATCTTATGATGCTGTCATCAACTCTATGGCATCAAATGGTAGGATAAATGAGGAATTGGAAAGGATACTGAAGGAAACAGTCATGGCCTAACTGAGGTACTATCCCAGAAGTTTGCTTTAGGGATAAGGAAGACCACAGAAAACCTCAATCACAGTGTCACAACCTAAAAGGCTGTCATCTATATTACAAATGCTTTGAAAACACCAAATCTTTCCCTTTGAGTCTCCTTATAACCACAGTAATTTGTCTTGATGCCTAACATGTCAACTGTTTACACAGCCATAATTTCCTGACATGTATAAAATTCTGATGGAAAAAAAAAAAATAAATTGATAACCTTTCATATGTGTTGCAGGGCTAAAATCAGTTTCATGACATCACACTGGTGACTGCAAGAACCACAGAGGCAGGAAACTTGCCATCCCAACCTGAATGTAGTAAATTTCTACTCATGACTTTTGACACTATCAAATATCCTACATTTACATACAATACATTAGCTACTGCAACTTACTCTGTATAACATAAAATGCACATAAAACACACACACATATCACATTCATCTTCTCTTTTACAAACAGCAATTGGATCACTACTGTATACAAATGTACAAATAAGTTGATCAGATCACCTACTTCTCAATATTTATTACAACACTGAAGACAAAAAGTGAATATAATACAAACTTTGAATGTTGCATGAATACAGTCAGAATCCAAACAGTACACAAACTCTACACCAAATACTTCAGCATGTGTAACATGGATATTACATGGCCCACGTATCTGAACATTAAGTGTGGTATTAACAAAAAGACCACTTCCTACATGCCAGTGTCTCAGAACATACTGAACTTGCAAAATTCATATTTGGCACAAAACAAACTGTTACACAGACAATTAGTAGACAGCAGCTTCCATATCGGATGGGAAGATGCACACTTCTTCCAGACATTTTGAATAAAATCAATACGGTATCCTCAGCACATACGAAGGCTCTAAGTAAATATTACTGCATTTGTAGGAATAGTTTCATCAGTCTCTTCAAGGCCATTAACAACTTCTGCCTGGCCCAACATACATTCACAAAATACAGCAAAACTATTAAGTCAACATTAAAAAAATTCCTGCACTTCTTTCACATAAGAATAAAATTCAAAACACTGCTATAATCTTCAACCATCATTTTCCAGCACAAGGTGTTAAAACTTCTTCAACAACAGTGCTAAGTTCTGAAGCAGTACGGTATCATAGGTAATTTGATTTCTGCATGGCAACTTTTTCTGCCATATGGTATTACATTTCAGTGCCAAGTTCTGTATAATTATGATGTCGATGAATGGCTAGATTTTCCCATATAAGGTGCTACACTTCTTCAATAAATAGCTCCAAATTCTGCATATGTAGAACGCTGCGTGTAACACAACTTTTACTTGGTCACATTTCCCATTATAAGGTGCTACATTTCTTCTATAAAAATGTTAACTTCTATAAAAGTATGATGCCACACTTTACTTGATTTCTGCTAGTAGGATTTGAAGTTTTCAAAGTGGTGAAAGAAAAATTACTGTCATCTGAGTTGTCACACTTGTAGTCTGGTAAAAATTTACCCATGTATCAGAGAAGCCTGTTGCCTGCACCTTCAGGATATTCTACTCTGAAGATGGAAGCAGCAGGCTGCTCTGAAATATTGATAAATTTCTGCCAGACTATACAGCATCATGTCCCAGGGGACAGCAACCTTCTTCATTTCTCCTTTATTCATACAAGATGCAATTCTCTATCTTGTGCTTTTCCATGTTTCAAGAACTACCGATACGAAGGTCACAATTTGTTTCGCTTCTCTACGGATTTAAAAAAAAATCAAATAAAACCCACTCTTGCAGTGGCAACTCATAAAATGTAATCTAATCTTGAATGTGTTCGAAAGTCTTTGATCCGTATCGCCTATATCATTACAAAAGACATACCAAAATTCAGAAATGACAGGAAAAGGCTTGGGAGTATAATGAAAACACCTCAACGGCTACATGAACATGTCACACATAAAAATGAAAAATGAAGTGCACTTATTTCATAATCACCATACTGCTGCGAATCGAGATATTACAAGTATGCCACATTTTGATAACCTTACCATAATGAATTCTGAGAACTGGGTTTATACCACCTTTATGTTCAGGCTTTCAATATTCCACAAATCAATAAAATCTTTTACGAGAATTTTCTTGATGCTTCTGGTAGAACATGATTCCAATGACGACACAAGCAATGACAGCAAGTGTCCCAACCAACATCAACAAAAATATCTTAATCCCACTTAGTGATGATGGCTTTGGATCTTCCACGTGATCTGTAAACAAAAACAGCTTCTTATCTAACTGATTTACAGTTACGAAAGTTAACGGAAGAACACTAAAATTCCTAGGTTGAGATCTGTAATGCCATGAGTTTAGCAGATGGGTACTAACATTTGGAATGACCCTGTTGGCTCCAGAATGTAAACGCCTATCTACTGAATTACACAGTAAGTAAAGTAAAGTAAAAAAGTAAGTAAAGTTATCCCTGTACCAGGCCGTGAAGGCCCATAGGATTGTGAGACGTTGAGGGTCCCACATTATATAGACAATCGGCTCAAAGATGGCAGTAACGTTGTCAGCCTTACACGCCGGCTGTGCTTTACTCCCCAGGAAAAGCGGCCTCCATAGTCTAGGGGTAATGTTCCCACCTCATGACTCAAGGTACGCGGATTCAAACCCAGCGGAGGTTGTGGAATTTTTAAGGGCCGAAAAATTCAGGGAACAAGTCCTCCGGGAGGGACTTTAATCCGTGGGTCCCATGTCGTAGATTTATGGCACGTAAAAGATCCTCATGTCTCTAGGAGACCTCTGAGCAAAATTAGGCAAGTTTCCCGCCCAAGTAGTTTCCAATGCCTCTGGTAGATGGGGGAAGTATCGAGGTACCGAGGGCCAACCTCGTTGGCTGAACGGGGCTGAGAGCATGCAACAGTACCGGTACGGTATGGCGACTGGTAGAATATCAAAAGGGGACATACAATAGACTATTAGTCGCGGTGCATGGGGAAACCCAACCCCTCCAATAATAATAATAATAATACTCCCCAGGAAAATTATTTAATTAATTCCTGGTACTCATTTCTGTTAGAGGCTGAGTGAACCCCACGGCAATAGTGAGGCTGCAAGGATTAGGTCAACTGAAAAAAATCCAATGACCTCATCAGTGTCACATCCCAAAAAAACATGATCTTAACATTCACCACAAAATGTCATCTCAGCTCCATGAGTAAGTAAATAAGTAATGAAAACAATATGAACTATCATACCTCTTGGTGATTCAAAAAATGCCGCTGATGGTGATATTTGAGAACGATCCTCTTCCTCTTTTGGCTGTTCATAGAAATATAATAAAAGTTACACATCAAATATTTTAAACAGTTGAATAAATGAAAATGAAATGTGATTTCTCAATGCAACAGACGCTTGTAATCATCATATCTATACTCACATCATCTGGCAAATCTAATTCATACAGCCTGACAGACATAATGTCATGAATGTCTGAGAGATCACCTGTTGCTGCAGTCATACCAAAATAATAACCTGTTGGCAACCGAACTCCTTGTACAGACAGGCACTCCTTCCAAGCTGCCTTGTTCTCAATATCAGTTGAGACTGAAACATACAAATAACAAATTTCTCTGGATATTAATTACGAGAACAAAACTGAATGTATTAAGTAGAAACAAAGATAACTCAGTGCCCATAGAATTAAAGCTATTAAAATGAACAGTGAAGAAGGTACAAAAATTAGCTTTCGAGGAACAAATACATAGGCAGCACAGACAAAAGATCTTAACATGCGGACCATGCAATTTTTCACACTGAAATGTCTGTTAGAATTTACTTCTTCCTGATTTGTATTCAAGAGATACCAGGTTTGAATCCTGGACTGGAGATAAGATATCCTGAAGTACTTCACTGTTTTCCTCAGTCCCTACAATAAAAATCCTTTCCATATGTTTCTCAATTCTTATTTGATAATCATACTACTGAACAACCCAGTTTTGTATTTATACGTCAGGCTATCAGTGAGTCATATATTTCAATATTTTACTTCACTCGCTATCAGTTCCACATCTTCATGATTTCATCATTCAGAATCATCATGTCGTCTGATGCCACATAACCAACACAGTTCATAAAACATCACGAAATAAAAACACTCAATACAAGAATAATTCTGAATTGCAAAAATTATACAAAGAAAAAAAGACAAAAAAAAACAAATGCCGTGGCTTTAGTCTGCAAGCAAACAATACCAACCAAGCGACCGCTGCTTGTCAGCGAAGTTAGTGACAACCTTTGCAGATAGAGGGTGTGATGTGGTCAGCGCAACAGATCCCCACGGCCGTTAATCTCGGTTTTCTGGACCAGAGCCACTATTTCCTTGAAACAGCTCCTCAATTACCCTCACAAGGTTGAGTGGACCCTGTTCCAGACCTACTATTTCTCAGAAAATTTGGTAGCGCCGGGAATCAAACCCAGGACCTCTGGATCTGTAGCCAGGAACTCTGACCACTAGGCCACAGAGGTGATCCTTGCAAAAATGATACATAACTTAATTCTGAAGCATTCTGACAATGATGTGACACACTGTTTAAAACTCACATTTTGGACTTTTGTCCACTTTTTGAGTTTATTAAAACCACTATGTTTCAGAAACTGATTCTACTTCCCCCATCAGGTGAAGAGGATCTGAAACAAATCTAGTCTGCTGGGCTTTTCAGTACAGCTACTTTCAAACCACACTTTGAGAACAGCTCCAGAGGTTTTCTTCAAATTCCTTCTACCTGAAGATGAAAAGAAACTCAATTTTTTAATTCTTCATGGGTTTTAATATATCTGGTTGATGGACAAAGTCCAAAATAATTGCTTTAAACAATGTCCTGCAAGCAGTTCAATTAATTTTCTTCTTCATCAAACTAATTCACAATTAACACATTCACTGTCAATTTCTTCTCTTGAGGGATGCAGTTTCACGTGTGCCAGTGCTGATCCTGTCACGTGACAAGCTGCCACTGTCTATGTAAATGCCATTTTCTCCAACAGATATCACTCAAATACAAGAAACATTAAGTGTAGCTCATTAAAGTATGAAAAAGTCAAAAACATTTCAATTGCTCTTCATTTATTTTTTTCCTTTCCATTTTTTCATTTCAAATATTAAGTTAAAAATCTACTTTTCATAGGAAAAAATGGATGACCTAGCAGGTAAAATATAATGGCATGGCAGTGGGTGTGTTAAAATAATCCTCTTGGAAAATGTAGGAAAGTTAATACACTTTTTGTATGTTATCAAAAAAATTTGGTCTTAACTGTCTTATATGTCTAACTGGTGCACAATATTCTGCAGTGCACAAGAAGTAAAAGTTACCTGTCCCTGTGGACCACTAGGGAATAAGACATGCAAATGCAGACATGCTCTTTCAGATGCATACAAGACTGCATGCAAGTACTTATATGCTTTATTCTGGCATTAACATTTCTGCTACATAATGTTTACGCATATGGTGGTAAAAACAAACCTGCTGTAGAAGCAAATTAGAGTTTTATTATGCTATGTATCAATAGAGAACCAAAATAGCTCACTTGGTATAGTGTTTATTTATATCTTAACATTTGGCCACGCCATAGCTTAAGCAGTTAGTCGCTGGCTTCCGGGTTTGATTCCAGGTCTGGTCAAGTGGGATTTGTGGTGGACAAAGTGGTGCCGGGGCAGGTTTTCTCCGAGTACTTCGGTTTCCCCTGCCAATCTTCATTCCACCAATTCCTCCACAATCACCCTCACCTATCATCTGGGGCTGGAACAATAGGCCAGAAGTGGCCGCAGTACAAGGGACTTAGTCCCGCCCCATTAGAAATAAAAAAAAATTTATATATTTTAACAATTATAAACCTAATGAGAGCATGAAACTTTGATATATAAGGCAAAGATAACATAAGTCAAAATATATACTCCAGAAATTATGGACAGAAATGGACCACTAATCGCCACCATTGTTAATTTACATTTCTTGCGTGTCTCACCACCAAAAGTGAAACTAAATGGATTCATAAAAGTGGATGTCATAAGTTCTCAAAACTTTTTCCCCTCACCATGAAGGAACTGACGTTATCTTAATCTGGCTAGAGAATGTATAATGTGAATACCTGACATCAATCATTATACGCTTTTATATAGCTGCACAAACTACATTACAACTTCAGTCTGCTGAAATGGAAGCCGTAATATATTACTCTCAGAGCTACTATATAAAGCTGAGACGGTATAATCGCAGTGTGATCCTCAACCCTGCTTTCTATGATTTATAATGCATGACAAATATATTAAGAGAATATTCATTTATACAAGTACAATCAATCTACTGCAAGTCATGAAGCAGTATTTATAGTACTCTCTCAATTATCCAGGTTAATGTGGTTGGGGAGAAGCTAGCTATCCAAATGACAAACTAACTGACTAACTCCATGTAATTGTGTCCTTGAGAAGCCAACAACTGCTCAGGTACTGAAGAATTTCCCACCATTTTATGGAACCTGAAGGTTCATTACCACATTCACAAGAGCCCACCATTGGTCTCTATCCTGAGCCAGATGAATCCAATCCATATCATTCCAACCTATTTCTCTGGCTCCTCTATAATATTAATCTCCCACCAGAGTATATATGGGATGAGGGGAGAGAAAACATAAATAATAAAAATAAAAGACTGGTAATCCAAAACTACCATCTTCTGTATCATCACATATAATGCAACCCAAATTATTTTCATATCTGTATCAAGATCATTAGATTACAGGGGAGGGTAGTAAATGATCCCTGTACCACGACTATGTCCAATGTACTGTGTACTAACAAAGGTTGTCATTTTAGTTTCTCAATTATGCTGGTTAATGACTATCATCTGACAGGGTCTATGTATAATATACATAATGTTTCATATTATTGTATTGGCAGACATTAATTCATACATTAAAGTCTTGATGTTTAATGATCCCTCATATCAGCACTCAGTGCTGTCAACTTTGAAATGGTACTGGGAAGAGTTTTTACATTAAGAAATCACAGGAAATATGTGAGGGGACAATTTACATATGCACAAAAACAATAATCTACACACAGAAAATATGGATTATACACTGTAATTCAGAGTGATAAAACGTAAAGCGCTGAAGAAATACATTACAGCCAAGACAAAGGAAACATGCCAGGCAATACTGAAGATTGTGATTAGTCACGTGTGAAAAAGGCCTCTGAATCAGTAAATAAATGTACAGCAAACATTAAAACATACAGTCACTGGTTATCACATTAATTCTACAAAACACCAAGTACATACATATGATATGACAACAGACTAAATAATTTAAACTATCATTTCATATTCAATTCCAGCAGTAAAATATACTTAATTTATTTCCTGATTTTCAATCAACTATAAATGACACACATTAACCCTTCAAAACCTGACATTCATCTTCATAATATTTGGATTTCAGTTTCTACCTCACAGGAAACTCTGCATCTCCATTATAAAGAACTATATAATTTTCTTCAATTTATAAAATGATCATAAATTCATAAATCTCCAAAATGTTTTGCAAGCAAATATATTAATAAAAACTGGCAAAAAATTTAGTGTGTGTATAAATACATTCATTTCATTTATCAATCAATTTCTATACAGTATGTTACAGTCGAAAAAGATTTTAATGTACGCATATTCAATTAATATTCATTTAAATAAACTGGAGCAAAGTTCATTACCACAGTGGGCTAAACTATCGCCTTACTGTCTCAGAGGCCAAGAGGAAAAATAAAAGATAGCAGAATAACTACCAAATTTTCCTTTCTTCTGAGCTTCGATCACCATGGTGTCCCTGGGATAAATATTCACTGGGCAGCGGAGAACAGCGTAGAGACAGTTAAAAAAAAAGATAAAGGGAAAGAAAAGACAGAGAAAACCCATGTTAAATAAGAAAGAGAGTAAGAAAGGAGATAAGGGTTGGAATAAAACAACACAGATGAGAGATCAGTAGAGTGTGGTAGCTATCCACAGAAGTAGCAGCCAACAGGCCATATTCATATACATGAAGTTGGATCAGGGAAAGAATGAACACAGATTTCCTCAAACCCAGCTCAAAGGTTTCCTTCCCTCTGCATGCCTTTCCCCACTTCCACCACTCATTGTTTCTTTAGTGATGAATGTTCCATCTCTCGCCTTGCTTTCTTGGTTTGTTTTTGGTACTGACAGAGGGAAGATGTGAAATGAGGGTATGGTGGTGGAAAACAGCTGACGAGCTTAATTCATACCCGCCTGCCAATGCAAATTGCATTTACTTCTCAGTCTCAAAGGTTACAAATTTCTCAACTAAACAGAAAGACAGAAAATGAAACATAACCGGACTGATCATATTTCAAAGAATGGAAGATGACAGATATGAACAACAGATATTAACATACAAACCAAAAGGGAGAATAAATCTAAGAAATGCTCTAAAGAGTTGAACAAAAAACAACAAACAAAACAAACCCCGTGGTTTTAGTCCGCAAGCGAACTATACCGACCGAGAGATCACAGTTTGTTGGCAAAGTTAGTGCCAACTTTAGTGGATAGAGGGTGTCATGTAGTCAGTGCAACAAATCCCCATGGCCTTTAATTTCGGTTTTCTAGACCAGAGCTGCTATTTCCTTGAAATAGCGCCTCAATTATCCTCACGAGGCTGAGTGGACCCCGTTCCAGACCCACTACTTCTCAGAAAATTTGGTAGCATCGGGAATCGAACCCAGGAACTCTGACCACTAGACCACAGTTGAACAAATCACAAAAATCTGTAACCAGAACAGGGTCATGAGACCTAATCAGTGATGATGATGATGATGATGATGATGGTGATGATGATGGTGATGGTGGTGGTGATGGTGGTGGTGGTGATGATGATGATGATGATGAAGTATTTTTTTTTGTTGTTTGGTGGTGTAAACATCTGGCATCCAAAATGTTCACAGCACTGTTGTAGTTACCACACTGTACTTCAAGCATGCAAATTATGGGAAATGGAATCACACACTACAATATCAAGAAACACAAGTACCCAACACCTGGAATATCACTCCTGGTACACTAAAACAAACACTATATACTCAGACAAACAATATAGCACACCATTACATTTAGGTGAAACATCCTTTTATCACAAACAAAAGAAATCGCAAACGCAACGCAAACACAACAAAAACACAAACTTTTTCAACATGGAACATTAACCACTGAATATCATTCAAATCAACAACCAATGCAACATCCAGCACCATCAGAGCAATTAATACAGAGAGACTCAACAGTCATGCAACCTTGATTGCATTTTTACCTTATTCAACCTTTATTCATATACTACATACAGGTCAGAAAAAATATGAACTCTTGTGTGGGACAGAAGAATTTGGACATGTCCTGAAACTGTCCTCGAACAACCAGGATGAAAATAACGTTTGATTATGAAGAAACACTGTGCATAACAGAATACCATGCTGCTTCCCTGACTGCCTCACAATGCCACCATAACCTATGACCTACTGGGTTGTAGAAGGGAGGGGGGTGTTAGTAGTGTCAACTGTCGCACACAATATCATCTCCTTCTCTCACAGATTATTAAACACCAAATACTTAAGACTTTTGAATCACTCTGCATTATTCACAAAAGTTTGAAGGGACCAGACGGTAATATTTACATCCCTTCCACATTTTTTTCTATTAGTTAGAATCAAGTTAAAATCATATTCAAGAATGGTAACAATGCAACATGAAAGTGGGTTATTTTGTGGGTCATATCACAAAACTGTCAAAAACTAGGCTATGTAGTGTTGAATGGTAGGATGACAGATGAATTGGACTGAATCTGGATGCAGTCATGGTCTAAATAAAGATATTATCCTGGCATTTGCCTGGGAAGACTGACGAAAACCACAAAAGATCTCAGTCAGGACAGCTGATGCTCCAGTTGCAATTCAAGCCAACTACACCCCAAATATGAGCCTAAAGCATTACCAGTACACCACTACGCACATCTGCACACACAAACACACACACCAAAAAAGAAGTATGTCTTACTCTTTCATATTTGTGTCACAACGATTTGCATCTCACAATGGTATTTCTCAGAGGTAAGGGCAACAAAATTTTGTGAAAATTTAATTCCTATGTTTTTACCACGCATAATGGAATGCAAGTGGATGAACATAAAGTAAAAATATTCTAATCACATATTGTGATGCTGACATAAAGTGTAATTATCTACTGATAACCGGCAGTAGAAGTTTAAACAAATCATACATGACACAAAGCAGTACCTTGGCAACAGTAAAGTACACTTCAAAACTTTCCATAGGCAACTGCCAGCGCAACAATTTTGTCATATCACAGCCCAACTGCTTAACACTCTGTTTCATATCTGGAAGGTTCCAACTTCACTTCTCAGCCACAAGTTCGATAATCCTAACCAACGAAATCATGGCTTTCCTCACTGCCTCCAGACAAATAACAGGACAGCACCACAAAACAGCTAACAATTTCTTCCTCCAACATTCTTACAAAATCATCATTCATAATTAACTTATCACTTGTCATTCAGCTTAAACTTATGCAGCTGATACATCATTAATGCTTTGAAGCTATTCATCTTAATAATAACAACAAATGCAATTCCAGCAACACAGAAAACACACTGCATCTCCATTACAAAGACAAACTGGTTAATTCCATTTATGGAACTAAATGCTGATTATTCTAAGAATGATATAAAAACCTACAAACACTTTCTATGAGCAAAATGCAGAATATTTTTATGAAAAAACAGGTGGCACAAAGTCAAAGTCTCATTGCGACTGACATATCATTTCCCATCTTCTTCCATTCTGCTTTATCTAGTCTAAGCTCATGAGCCAGCTATTCTCAGTGAGGCATCTCATTGTATTCCACAGTTTCTCAACAATGTTTCCTCTAGCATCCTCGACCATTCTTCTACTCAAAATAATTATACCATACATCATACAGTACTACGTACCCTAAGCAGATGATACAGCACTGTACAATAGTTAAACCTGAAATCTAAGTGATTTTCCCACAGAAAGGGGTTTACATACAGAGTGTCCCAGGAGATTGGTGCCATACTTCAGGAGTGTACTGAGGGTTCCCTATAGAATAACTTTGAAATAGGAACCCACGTCCACAAATATAAAATAGCAGCGATAGGGCGGCATTTAAAATCATTTCATTTAAACTTGGCGCCTCAAATGTCGAACTGCACTGTATAGAGGAACAGCCATCCACCAGCATTGGCTACATTGTGGGGACATCAAAATCAAGTGTTTGAAGGATCCTGCGCAACCAACAACTTTATCCATATCATCCAACGCGAGTACACGACGTAGGTCCAGCTGACTTCGTACCATGAGTTCAATTTTGTCAGTGGATACTGAACCAGTGTTTACATCAGCCCAACTTCCTGAATCATGTGTTATTCACAGATGAAGCATAGTTTACAAGGGATGGCTGGTTCAATTGTGGCAACAGTCACATTTGGGCTGACGAAAACCCCGAAGTTACTGTGGCTGGTTACTACCAGGCACAATTTTCTGTCAATGTCTGGGCGGGCATCATTGGTGATCACTTGATTGGGCCTTTCCTCCTACCACCACGACTCAATGGGCCCTTTTACTAGGTGTTCCTGGAACGTATCCTTCCAACCTTACTAGAAGATGTGCCACTGATTGTGCGGAGGCAAATGTGGATACAGCATGACAGAGTGCCGGCACACTTCAACGTTGTATCATGAGACTACCTGGATACTGCTTTTCATGGTCGTTGGATAGGAAAAGAAGGCCCAGTGCCTTGGCCACCCTGATCCCCAGACTTGACACATCTGGATTATATCTTTTGGGGCCATGTGAAAAGCCTGATCTACGACACGCCTGTGGATAATGAATTCGAGCTGTTGGCCAGAATACTTGTTGCATGTGACGTGATCTGTGAGACACCTGGAATATTTGAAAGTGTGCGCCAAAGTTTCTTTCATCGATGTAATGCATACATTGAAAATGGAGGGCACCAATTCCAACATCTACTCTAGCAGGTGAGTCTTAAGAGTTTGGAGGGGGTAATATGCCTGTGCATGCTCTTCGACATTGAGGCGCCAAGTTCAAACAAAATGATATTAAATGCCGCCCTAGCGCTGCTATTTTACGTTTGTGGACATGGGCTCCTATTTCAAAGTTGTTCTATACGGAACCCTCAGTATGCTCCTGAAGTATGGCACCAAACACCTGGGACACCTGTATAACACAAAATTATAACAAAAAAATCAAGCCAGATGCAGGAATTGCACTCTCAAAACAAAAAACAAACTCCGTGGCCTGTAGTCCACAAGTGAACTATACTGACCGAGCGACCACCACTTGTCAGCGAAGTTAGTGCCAACATTAGCAGATAGAGGGTGTCACATAGTTAGTGTAACAGATCCTCACAGCTGTTAATCACGGTTTTCTAGACAAGAGCCGCTACTTTTCCATTCAAGTGGCTCCTTAATTAACCACACAAGGCTGAATGGACCCCGTTCCTGACCCACTACTTCTCAGAAAATCTGGTAGCACCAGAAATCAAGCTTCGACCTCAGGATCTGTAGCCAGGAACTCTGATCACTAGACCAGAGAGGTGGTCATTTCATACTTATAACGATATTAATTTCAAACTTCATCATCTGGGCATATCTTTACAATGCAGTGATCAGTAATGCTATGTAAGTTAGAACTGCTCATGATATGACAAAATAACCTTAAATAATACATTAGATGAAACACTGAAACATCACAGGGTTACATACCAGTCAGAGTATCCCTCTCGTAACGGATGGCGATGTGTGTGTCGTGGTCAAGATTACGAAATTTTGCTTCGCAGCCTGCCAGTTGCGTATGTGTGCCATCCCGGTCATGATCATAATGCAATGACCCGTTGTTTATCATTGCTGAAATATATGGGTGCTGATGCTGAAATAATACAGGGACAACTGAGAAAGTAGCTTCATTCTGAACCCTCTTCCAGCAAGAACACTTGAAAATATTCCTACATAAAATATCACTCCCAGACTTGGCACTCAAAAGTGTTCATATCTTTTCTTCCCGTCTCACAGTACATCTGCTGTAAAGTTAACTTTTTTTATCATTATGAAAGAAAATCATGTATATACAAAAATGTCCTAGACAATGCCCATCCTGGCCTCTGTAGCACATTCTTAACTGCAATTATGTTTTCTTCCTGTCTGTGATTGTGGTGTTGTGTGCCATGTGATTTGGTGAGCTGATGTCTCATGGTAATGTGAATCTTTTATTAATAACAAAACATCATCGCATTTCATTGAATTTAATCATAATTTTACCTATACAAAAGTTACTGAACAATTTAAGCGGCCCACATAGTCTAGGGGTAACATTCCCACCTCATGGGTGTTCAAACCTGGCAGAGATCGTGGAATTTTTAAGGGCAGAAAAATTCAGGGAACAAGTCCTCCGGGAGGGACTTTAAGCCGTATCCCATGTCATAGATTTACGGCACATAAAAGATCCTCATGTCTCTAAGAGACCTCTGAGAAAATTAGGCAGTTTCCCGCCCAAGTAGTTTCCAATTCCTCCGGTAGATGGGGAAGTATTGGGGATCACTACCGGAGAGGGCCGACCTCGCTGGCAGAACAGGGCTGATAGGGAGCACCAGTACTGGAAGGGCATGGCAATTTGTTAGAATAATTAAAAAGGGGGACACACAATAGATCGATAAATGGTCGCAGTGCATGGGGTAACCCACCCCTCCGAATAATAATAATAATAATACTGAACAATTTAATTTGATCTTCATTGGCCAATTAAGCCTCTTACTCCAACAATTCTAAATCTTTTGCATCTTGCATCCTGTTGCTCATTCTGTCAAAAAGCTCAGTCCTTCCACAGTAAAAACAAAGCTTCTTTTCTTGAAAGATGTGTATTTTTAAAGTTATATACCTACATATATAGGAGCTGGGATATCTCAGTCCTCTCCACATCGTCCAGACTGGGTCTGGGCCCACCCAGCCTCCTATCCAATGGGTACCAGAAATTCGTTCCCCGGGGGAAAAGCGGCCAAGACGTGAAGCTGACCACTCACCTCCAGCTAATGTCAGGGTCAAGAAAATGTGGATCTATACATCCAATCCCCCATACGCCTTCATGGCTCAGTGCTTAATTGGTTAAGCACAGGGATGACTTTACCTTACCTTTATACTATATATACAAAACACTGAAGTATTGTTACGTGTTTCGTTACTGAAGACGCCGTTCGGATTGTTAATTGGTTTATTTAACAACCTACAAGTATCGGCTACAATTAATTACAACAATGTTGCGGGATTTCACAATTTATAACCCTATTCGCAAATCAAATCACTCTATTGTCAGTAGTCTACACGTTTTCACAGTACGGGAGCTATACAAGTGTCACCGTGTTACACACTCCCAATTAATTCTCGGTTATCACAAACTGTCACTGATTATCACACACTAACTGTCTCCGGGGACGGCTACATGTTAACTCCCTCCGTAGGCAGTGTGGTTCACTTATATAGTCGCAGCGCTTGCCTGTTATGCAATCAGTACCGCTGTTGGCTGTTACCCATGTCACAGCTGCATTGCGTGTTACATCACCGTGCGGAGGGGGATGACGGAGCGCTGACTCGCCCGCCACATCACTCCTGGGGGGGGGTTGTCCTCCATTGCGCAACATGTCACAGTATTATATCAATTATAATAGAAATCCTCATATGTGATATCTCCTGTTCCACTCAGCAAAGTGCCCAGTCTCACTGGTTGAAAAACCACTCTGCTCTAAAAGTGAACTGCATACCTAACCAGAAAACCTGCAGAAGTTGTACATATGTCATTAATCACAACTTACATTGTGTGGTCCATTGTGGTTGCTGTAGGTGTCAAGGATGACTGCTAATCCTTGAAAATAGTCCATATTGCCAAAAACTGCACCAGCAACCATGCGATCCTTTGCATACCAGATAACAAATCCATCTCCATACAGCTCTTTGCCTTTTCCATGGACCTTAAAGTGTACTTGTAGCTCCCAGTTACGAACACTGCAAGGCTAAAGGGAGATTACATAAATATGCCAGAATAATTAACTTTATAGGAAAATATCAGTCAATACATTTTATGTAACAATTTTTGACAAGTTTTGTTATTGGCAATACGATAAAACAACAACAAACAACTNTTGATTCTCGGAGACGAATGTTTGGGAAAAGGGCTCTCCCAAGTTACAAACTCTCTGAGCCCAAACTTCCACAAGGAAGCTCCTCCTTGGAACTTGCCTTCTTGGACCAGTTCATATTTTGGTAGTTTTCCAAGAAGTTGTATCTACCAATTAACATTTAATTTTTAATTATTTAATTACCTCTTTGGCGGCTTGGCGGAAAATTACCCTCGGTAGCGTGGGTGTTTGTAACCTCTACCGCTGGAGTGACAGTGACAATAACCGTCCACCCCTACTTTTCTCAAAGGGATACGGTCCTGGTTATAGAGCTTTATTCAGGAAGGGTAGCGAATGCTACATCCTGTCCTTTCATCAAGGAGGAACCCCTGTCTACTTGTTAACACAGAAATGTGACTACGTGCTACATCTTAAATATAACTTATACCTAAATGAACAATGGAAATTGTTGAGTTCCCACAGCGAACAATCGAATATCAACTGTAACCGTTCATTTAGGTATAAGTTATATTTAAGATGTGGCACGTAGTCACATTTCTGTGTTAACAAGTAGACAGGGGTTCCTCCTTGATCATTATAATCATTATAATCATTAATTAATCATTATAATGATTAAAACAATATATATGTTGTTACCTACCACGGAATTCCACAATTGTCCTTGTTTACTCTGAGAATCCGGTGTGAGCCTAACATAATTGTTTGTCACCATTGTACTTCCCATAAAATCCCAGTACGGTATGGTCATTCCAGCACCTAAACAAATCCATACTTATTACCTTGGATGGCTAATACAAATTCGATAGTACATCCGGCAGCGTGTCAATACAGAAAACGCCGGTAAAGTTAATTTACACTTCACCTTGATAGGGTTTTATTAGAGAATGTTCTCTTTTCATGTAATCTTTCGTGTTCCATTCTGCCTTTGTCTGTAAGAAAAGCAATAACAAACACAAAAATACGCTTGTTACATAATAAACTGTCATACTGTAATCCTTTTACGTAAACACCCTTGCTTCTTTTTACAGATTATTCAGGTCTAATCCGTTTTCACGAGCTGTGCTCTTTAACCTTCGAAGCTGAAACCATAGCTACTCTACAATTAGTCAGCTAACACCGGTAACCCGTTAACACACCAACGGACCAATAGTTGAGTTATTGTAACCATAGTAAAGTATCGTTTGGCGACGAAGAGTAATGCCTCGTGTGCTGACACCTATGTATCATAACGATAACATACGTGGTATCACCAGTAGCCCAGTTGGCAAGAAGGTTACGTGCTCTTCCACCCACACACTCCTGTAAGACAGACTATTAAAGTACGACTTTCCATTATGCATCATTAAATTTGCCAGTGTTTTTCTCTTTGCAGATGACACCAGTATTTGGTCACTGGAAAAAGTCATTGTACGCTTATGCACAAAGTTGCAGATACCTTTACTCTCATTGTAAATTGGTTTATAGCGAATAAGTTGGTCTTAAATATTAACATAACTGCTATTATTAATTTTGCTCCTAAACAGTCTGCCAACTCTATGCTGGCAGTATCCTTTCGAAACGTGGTAATGAATGAAGTCCCTCTGAACAAATTTTGGGTATACAAATTGATAATAATTGAAATTGGAAGAGTCATGTGGAATACATCCTTCCTAAACTCAGTTCTGATATTTTTGTAATTAGGAGTTTCTCTTATTTTATGAATTTTAAACCCCTGTAATTTGTGTATTTTTCTTACTTTCATTCTATCATTAAGTATGGAATAGTCCACTGGGGCTATTCAACTAATAATTCTAGAGTTTTTTAAATTGCAAAAGAAAGTAATAAGGATCATATTGGGAATGGGCCTGAGAGAAGACGTAAAAGACTTTTTAAGAAATTAGATATTTTACCATTGTCAGGTGAATATATTTTTTCTTTTCTTTTATGTTGTTTGTGATAGAAAATCAAAATAATTTCTGTTCAAGTTAAGAGGTTCGTGGCCTTGACACTATAACAAAAATCAAATTTATGTTCCAAATTCAAATCTTTCTGTTTTCCTGAAGGGCACGTTGTATACTGATAATAGGTTATTTAATAGAAGGCCAAAGACCATTCAAAGTTTTAGAAAGGATAGAATCAGTTTTAAAAATAATTCATTTTCATAACTCATGAATAACTCTTTTTATGCAGTTGATGAATTTTTGGAGCATACAGTAAATAATTAGTTACAGTGTTTATTCGTGTTTATATTGTCTTTCTGTTTTGTTGGTTTGTTTCTTTGTTTGTTTGTGTTATGCTTGTGACGAGAGGAGAGGTCTGTCTTTTGTATAAGGCGCTGGCCCTTGCCAGCACAGTTTTTCTCAGTTCCGAGTCCCTTGAGACTCACAACCATATTTTACTGTCTCAGATTTTCCTTTTCATCGCCTCCTACAACTCGCAGGCTCACAGTGGAGATATTCGACCCCGCCTCCACACATGTTACATGGAGCTTCAAAGTCAAAGTCAAAGTCACATTGCGACTGACAGTTGGTCAGTCTGTCTGTCTTGGTATCGAGCCCCAGCTGGGGGGTCCTCGCTGACAAGAGGTCAGGTCTATCATTTGTCAGTCATAGTTGATAGTATTAGTCCATTGTCATTATGTACACTTATTTACAATTGAGTCTTAATATCTAGTATGTATAATATATACAAGGTCTCTGTCAGTCTAGGCTCAGTATAGCAGACTATGTCCTATTTCTAGTAGTATTCACCACCACGGCAGTCTAGTCACTTGAACGGTTGTATGCCTGACCGCCACCAAGTTTAAGCTTCTTATACTTCCTATGTCGGGCTTCCCCTTGTCCGATGTTGTGAACATTCTCGTTACCATGAATTTGTATGACACCTTCTGCTTGTTGCCTGCATAATTTTGTTACATAGTCATATACGTATGGGGTTTTGAATGCCAAGTGCAAATCGCAGATTTGGAAAATTGCTAATGGTGAGGAGAACCTTGTTTTGCAGGTGCTGCAATTTCACTAGATGGGTGTCTGCCGCCAACTCCCAGGCAGAACTAGCATAAGTCATTAAGGATCTAATAAGAGTTTTGTGGAGGGTCAGTTTAATGTTAGTGCTCGATCACACACTTTTTTTTAAGTCAACGTCAAAGTCACATTACAACTGTGGCCAGTCAGTCAGTAAGTTTTGGTGTTGAGCACCCTTCTGGGGCTCATGACCAGATATTTATTACTGTTTGACAGTTATGGTCTTGTTTCTGTGGGCACCCTCTCTGACAAGAGGGCAGGTCTGTCTTTTGTATATGCTGCTGGTCCTTACCAGCGCAGTCTTTCTCGGGTCTGAATCCCTCTCTGACGAGAGGATGGGTCTGTATTTTGTATAAGCTGCTGGCCCTTGCCAGTGCAGTCTTTGTCGGGTCCGAGTCCCTTGGGACTGGCAACCATATTTTAGTGTCTCAGATTTGAAACTTCCCTTTTTGTCGCCTCCTACGACTTGCAGGGTCATGGTGAAGGTATTCGACTTCTCTTATAAGCACTTTGCACAGATCCCAGGGAAAACGGTCTGTACTGTTGACGACATCACTTGCGTTGTATAGCATAGTCTGATACATGGAAATGTGTTTACTGAGCCATTGCCTAGAAACTGATTTCATAACCCCGTTCTATTGTTGCTTGCCTGTATCGCAGGGTGTTTATCGAATCTTTGCCTGGCAATGCATTGATCAAGTCCATTACAACATTTAGAATCTGCTACCCTGTTCTCTGCTCTAATTGCTGATTTTCAGTGAAGTTTTCAAACTTAAATTTTGGATGTCTTTCATGTTCCTAAATGCGTTATCCATGTCTGTATCAGTCTCCTTAGTTTCAAAAACCCTAGTTTACTGTTTTCGGTATCATTCAAAAGTAACAATATATACAGTTCCTGCCCGGTCTTTTAAGAGGAAGTGTCTGTTTTAAGCGAAAATTACTGATTATGCAGCAAATATGTTGGGTTTAAATTAGTGGTGACTATGAAGTATACCATCTTGAGATTTAACATCTTGTAATTCTTCCTCATTCCAAATAAAATGGGCCTCAGACCACAATGTTTCACCGCCTGTTTGAATCAGTTCTGCTGGAATTTGATCACTACCTGACCATTTATAGGTTTTCAACTTTGCAATAGCAATTTAAACCTCATTAGGACTGGGATCAAGTATTAACAGCTCAGTTGTATGTAGTTCTATCAGCCTGACATCACTGTCCCTATGTACATTCAGTAACTGACAGAAATAGTACTTCCACTTATTTGAAATGTTGTGGGAATATGCAAGCAGGTTCCCATCCCTCATTAAGTTACTTCTTCAAAAATGCCGTATTCTGAGATGTGGCACCATGAAGATATTGTGTTAATCGACGTTTCGGGGGAACGTATCGCTTCCATATTCAAGGTAGAAAATCCGCGAGTGAGGAACCAGCATGAGCAGGTGGCTGCAGACTGATCTACACGCTGCCATGTCCCAGAAGACAGCATCCTTAATACTTTCTGCCGTGAAAACCTTGCATACATTTCCTACTACCCAAAATCCGAAAACCCCAGTAAAGCTGTCATCCGTCACCTCCTGCAAAATACTCCAGCAGAGGATATCTCTGACGGTCTGGTGAGTCTGGGTTTTGACGTTATTAACGTCACACAAACGACAACCAGTCATCGGACACCTTTGGAAGGAGCAAGGGCAATCAATCTTCCCTTGTTCCTTGTGACCCAACCAAGAACGGAAAAGTCCCAAGAACTCTTCCGATTAACCAACCTCTGCCACATTGCCATCAGGGTAGAGGCATACAAAGCGCAAAACAGGCTTACACAGTGTTATAACTGTCAGCAGTTCAGCCACATTTGGGCAAACTGCAAGCAACCCCCACATTGTTTGTGGTGCGGAGGTGGCCACCTACACAAGGAGTGTCCAGAGAAGGAGAACTCTACCTCCACCCCAGTATGTTGTAACCGCCGATTGGTGGAGGGAGAAAAGCCACAGACACCAATTATCGGGGTTGCAAACATGCCAAGGAGGAGCAACAGAAAAGGAAGGATCAGAGAACATCCAAAACTACCACAGGGAGGGTGTTCTCTTCAACTATCGCCACTCCAAGTGTCTCCTTCGCGGTGACACTCTGAGGCAGTACAGTAGAGCAGCAACAGTGCCCTCAGGAAAGCCATGTTCCGGTGGCTCCACCCACAACAAGGAAGCAGATTGTACCGGCCCCAGCACTGCAGAAGGAAACAGGCTAGTCAGTTCAGGCTACTCATGTAAACGGTCAATCTCTCCACAATATGTTGAGAGTAGTGACTGTAGTACAGCAGATTATGACAGAGGTCAGTGATGCAGTGTCCGAGGTGGACAAAGTAATGGCCATTACTAAAATTGTACTAAACCTCATGAAACAAAATAGCCACTAGAGTTCATAGGCCCCTCAAAGTCATAGCATTTAATGCGAACGGCATTGGGAGGCAGCGCTATGAGCTCAGTAAACAGCTGCAAGACCTATGCATAGATGTGGCCCTCTCTTCAGAGACACATCTGAAACCTCATGAGAGATTCTTTCTTCCAAATTACCACATTTATAGAACTGACCGCCACTCAGGCAGAAAATGCGAACTGCCGTGGCAGTTAGAAAAGGCATTCCCCATAGCTGTGTAGACCTACCATCCCTTGATTCAGTAGAAGTGAAAAGGGTCTGCATACCAATTGGTAATAGTGAAGTATTGCTTGCAGCTGTTTATAAATCTCCAGGCAGAGCCTGAAGTGATTCTGACATCATTGAGCTCTTAAGCTTTAGACGTAAGTCTATTTTGGCAAGTGATTTGAATGCTAAACACCCATTTTGTAATAGCAAAGTTTCAAACGCCTCAGGCGAGAAACTCAAGGATTTATTTGATATGAGTGAATTAGAAATTTCAGCACCACAGTGCTCCACTCATTATTCCCCTGCAGGAAATAGTGACGTGCTGGACATTGTGGTTCACAAAAATATCAGAGTGTCAGATGTCATCGTCTCTGATATTTTGGATTCAGATCACCTACCAATAGCATTCCACATACTGGATCATGTAAAGATTAGGAATCTTTCGGAACCTATTGAGAAATTTACAGATTGGGAGCGGTTTCAAAGCCTCGCCTCTGAGTTAATATCACCTAAACTAGAAATTAAGTCATGGATAGAAGCCGATAAAGCGGCACGCGACTTCGCAGCCTCTATTGCTTCGGCATATAGGTTGTCAACAAGTAAAGTTACACTTTCGGATATAAACAACGATCTACCTGGTCTAGATCGTTTGATAAAATATAAGCAGAGGCTAAGAAAATGTTGGCAAGAAACCAGGGATGCAGCATGTAAAACGGCAGTCAATTGGGTCACCAAATCAATCAGACGAATGACCCGAAAAAGGGAACTTGAACGGTGGGAAACGAAAATAGGTAACGCTGAAGTCACACCTCAGGGTATATGGCCCATTGCGAAATATCTCCTTAAGAGAGACTGACCAAGGGCACCAACTGCTATTCATGGTTCTTCTGGCCTTAAATTTCACCCTTCTGAAAAAGCCAACGCAATTGCCGACTGTTTGGAAATTCAGTTCACCCCGCATGATCTGTGCGACGATAACAATGAACGGCGGGTGGAGGCTAGAGTACAAGCTCTGCTGGCAACCGTAGACGATAACCACCCTCAAAGGAACAGACCATGTGACGTACAGAATTAATAAGATCTCTGAAACTAAAAAAGGTCTGCGGAATTGACGGCTTCCCGAATGAATGCCTCAGGCACCTTCCAAGGCGACCACTGGTTCATCTAACCCATTTATTCAATCATTGTTTTCGGCTTTCTCATTTTCCAAGTATTTGGCAGGAAGCAAAGGTAATAACTTTACCCAAACCCGGTAATGACCCGAAATTCCCTCAAAATTTACGTCCGATCAGCCTCCTGTCCACGAGAGGAAATTATTCGAAAAATCAATTTTAAATTTCCTCCGAAAACATATTGAAGAAAGAGGCCTGCTCAACGCAAACCAGTTTGGTTTTCGTGCACGTCACAGCACGACATTGCAATGTATGAGGCCGGCGGACCATGTGACCCTTAATTTCAACAATAAAATGTTTATGGCTGCGGGGTTCTTGGACATTGAAAAAGCCCTTGATACCACGTGGCACTCAGGATTGCTGTATAAGTTATCAAAATTGGAATTCTCGAACAGTTTGACCAAACTTATTGGGTCCTTTCTTTCTAAACGTAAATTCAGTGTCTCGGTTAAAGGCGAATGTCAACGCCAAGGGAAATGCAAGCAGGGGAGCCACAAGGTTCTGTCCTTTCCCCTACGCTTTTCAATTTGTATATAAATGATGCCCCCCAAACTCATGGTGTTTACCTGGCCCTCTTTGCGGACGACACCTGTCTGTGTGCGACAGATCGCAAGGAGGGGTTTATTGTTAGAAAACTCCAGCGCGGTCTCAGCTCAATGGAGACCTGGTGTGAGCGCTGGAATATAAAAATTAATGAAGATAAGACTCAGAGGGTCTACTTCTCTCGTGGTCGTCGACCGCCTGAGTCTTGTCTTACTCTAAATGGAAGGAATATTCCATTTGTAAAACGTGTAAAATATCTAGGTGTAATCTTCGATAAGAGAGTGACATGGAGATTACACATAGAAATGATCGAAGCCAAGGCCTTCAGAACATTCATTAGAGTGGTTACTATAGGATTCTGACGATGGAGTATAGTAAAGATGGAGTAAAGTCCAAAAACCCAACATATCAGTGATTCATTAGAGTATATTCCCTATTCAAAAGTGAGCGATTGAGCGATAACATTAAACTGGCCATCCATAAAGCTCTTATTAGATCCGTAATGACTTATGCTAGTCCCGCCTGGGAGTTTGCGGCAGGCACCCATCTAGTGAAATTGCAGCGCCTGCAAAACAAGGTTCTCCGCACCATTGGCAATTTTCCAAGGCACACACCGGTCCGCGATTTGCACATGGCATTCAAAATCCCATACGTATATGATTACATAACAAAATTATGCAGGCAACAAGCAGAAGTCATACAAAATCATGAAAACGAGAATGTTCTCATTATTTGTCAAGGCGAAGCCCGACACAGAAAATACAAGAGGCCTAAACATGGAGACGGTCAGGCATACAACCGTTCAAGCGACTAGACTGCCGTGGTGGCGAATACTACTATAAATAGGACATAATCTGCTATACTGAGCCTAGACTGACAAGAGGCCTTGTATATATTATACATACTAGATATTAAGACTCAATTGTAAATAAGTGTACATAATGACAATGGACTAATACTATCGACTATGACTGACAAATGACAGACCTGACCTCTTGTCAGAGAGGGCGCCCCAAATGGACAGTACAGTAACTTTTATACAAGAAGAAACATCTGGTAGTCGGGGCTCGACACCAAGACAGACAGACTGACTGACAGTCAGTCGCAACATGACTTTGACTTTGACTTGTCGCAATCATCAGTGAACACAATCAGTTCAGAGCGATCAGTCGTCAGAGGCATCAGCTCTTCACTGCTACCAGACAACTAACGTGGCTGCCGCAGCTCTCCAACGACCGTACTTTGCTACCTGCCGCAAGTCTCCAGCGACCACACACTGCGACCAGGCAACTAACAGAACTCCAGCAACCGTGCTTTGCTACCTGCCGCAAGTCTCCTGCGACCAGGCAACTAACGCAGCTGCCGCAACTCCAGCGACCGTGCTTTGCTACCCGCCGCAACTCTTCAGCAATCACGCTCTGCGACCAGGCAGCTAACGTAGTTGCTGCAACTCTCCAGCGCACGCACGGTGCAACAAACGAAGGGCCGCAGACTTTTCGGAGTCGTTGTCTATTGGAACATTGACAATCCCACAAAACCATTGTTTATTAAACAAGTGCTCTAAATTGAAATGCCTAACACAGTTATGTTGGAATACGACAATGACTGAACGGTAACAACTCTGTCAGTAAGGTCAACAATGCGACTGGCTTCACTGAACGCAACCAAAAACAAATCTTTGTTACAGACTGTGGTTTCCGCATGTAATTCAAATTACGTTCATAGATGGCAAGAGTGCATGTTGTGCTGTACTTTCAACCGCTTGCATTGAGTTGCCGATATGTAACCTGTAATCTGCTCCATGACCGGCAAAGATCGGCAAAGATCGCAAAGATTGTGGCATTGAGTGGTTGGTATTCGAGGTGTTCGAGGTTTTTGATGGCTGTAGCAGCGTTAGTACTATTGAACGGATTAACTTCTGTTAAATGTGCAAGTGGACAATTATGAGGGATTATGAGTCTGTGCAAATAGTGGAAGCAGTAGCCAGTCACTGAAATGCCAGATTATAATTGCGTATGTTATTCATGAGTAGTATTTCAATAACAGCAGAACTGCCAAGTCGTCATACCGGTAATTTTAGCCATGACACCACCAAATATTGTACTGCTTGCGTGTGGTGCTTACAATCCACCGACGAATATGCATCTTCGGATGTTTGGTGAGTTTTTAAGGTTAATAACTTTTTTAACTAATTTATGTTGATGTTAATTCAGTAGCATTGATCCGACGATTTTGTCACTTTATCGAAATTTCAAGAGTAATTTGAGGCTAGGAGATTGAAATGTTTGTGGTAAAGGTAAGGTAAAGTTGTCCCTGTGCTTGACTAATTAAGCACTACGCCATGAAGACGTACAAGGGAGTGGATGTATAGATCCACATTTTCTTGAGTTTGGCACTAGTTGGAGGTGAGTGGTCAGCTTCACGCTCTGGCGAAGGAGCCCTCGGTACCTATTGTATAGGTTGCTGGGTGGGCCCGAGAGTCGGTTTGGACGAAGTGGAGAAATTTCTTGACCCTACCGGGACTCGAACTCGGACCCTTCGGTCGACCAGCCTTATAACCAGTCGCTATACTGGCTGCGCCATCCACAACTCGTGGAATGTGTGGGGTAAGTCTGATAACCGTAGTTCAAATCTGAAATGTGTTTGGGGGCTTAAGTAGGTTAGAATTATCTGCTTTTCAAGGTCATAGAAAAGCACATACAGTTCTTCCGAAATGGTGGTAACATGAGAATGTTGTGTAGGATAAATGATATAAACTCCGTCTCAAGTGCAAACAATATATTTTGTGTCTTTGATCTTGCTTCCCCACACTACATGTGTAATTGTATAGAGTGCAATAGGATGCTTAAATATAATATTGTAAACAAGGTTGTGTAGATATGATGATCGAATGTTTGTACACAGAATAATGCCAAAGTTACTGTTTAATTCATTATGTTTTGAATAGACACCACAGTATCTTGTTGGAATGCATGGAACAACTTTACAGCCCTTTGACCGTGTAGCACTACTTACAGCATGACCACATTATGAAAAGTTAAAGAGGGGTATGTTTAGCCGTGGTCTGTGTGTGTATTGAGAACGTAAATTTTTACTTTCAGAAATCGCTCGGGATCATCTACACAGACTTCACTACTGTAATGTAATAGGTGGAATTGTGTCACCAGTTCATGATGCATATGGTAAGAAAGAGCTTTTATCAGCAACACATCGCTGTGAAATGCTTCGCCAAGCACTCAAAAATTCTAGTTGGATCCGGTTATCTGACTGGGAATGCCATCAGGAAGGTTGGACAAGAACGAGACTTGTACTTCAGTATCATCAGGTAATAAATAGTTCATGTTTTTCAATTTAATTACCCTTAGTAAAGTTCTGTATAAACCTACCTGAGGGTAAGTTAAGACTGTCTATTCTACAAATCAAGGTACAGCGTGCCTTGTATAGGCAACTTTAAAGAGGCAAGGTAAAGTTCTCACTGTGCTTAACTAATTAAGCACTATGCCATGAAGACATATGGGGGAATGGATATATATATCCATGTTTTCTTGACTTCAGGACTAGTTGGAAGCAAGCCGTCGGCTTCACTCTCCGGCTGCTTTACCCCCTGGAAAAGAGCCTATGGTACCCGTTGGACAGGAGGCTGGGTGGGCCTCAGAGCCGGTCTGGATGACTTGGGGAAGAAAACATTCTTGACCTTACTGGGACTTGAACTCTGACCCCTCAGTTGTACAAACCATAGCCAGCGCTATGCTGATCATGTATATAGGCAATTTTATGGGAGAGAAGTCCTGTGGAAGCATGTCTGAATTTCCCACCAGCATATGGATATGTTTAAAATAGAATATAGTAAACTTCTAATGATATAGTGGTCTACATCAGTGGCTCTCAACCTTTGTCACACCGCAGCCTGGTAAATTCTTTTTTATTAGATGAGGGCCCAGTATAATTGATGCCAGAGCCTGGTACCAGGCTGCGGCCCAGTGGGTGAGAAACACTGGTCTACATGACTGACTGATGACACATCCTTATTCCTATAGTAGATGGTGTATACTAAAATGAAGATTCATTGAAAAACTGTCTAGGAGCAGTTACCAGAAATTACCAAGGCCCAGTAAAACCTTGCTCAGTGATGTTACTTGAGATCACGGTTCAAGATTAAGACTAAATGAGAACACCGATGCCTGCGGTCCTATGACAAAGCCGCATAAATGCCTTTTAATGTTTTTTCAGCTTCGTTTTTACATGGACTTAATGAACATATAAAATGTAAATTAAATTTTTAGTACAGAATTATTATCATCATTTCAGAACCAGTTAAATTCAATACTGAATTCCAATAACGAATCTCCCAACAAACGGCAACGATGTGATGATCTGTTGTGGATACCGGATGACTTAAAGTTCCGATCTGGTGGACCCGTCCAGATTAAGCTGTTATGTGGTGCTGATCTGCTGGAATCTTTTGCAACTCCTGGACTTTGGACGGATGAGGATGTTAGTTCTTATCATATTTAGATTATATATAATATATTTCTTCATAAGATTTCCATCTGTAAAAATATATTAAAATTACTTTTAGGTACGTTGTGGAACAATGCATGAATTTCTGTCCAACTTTTTGCACAGAACAGCACCATCAATTTGAAAGGATTTTGAATGCATTTAGTGCTGTATGTATGATTTCAGATTGATACAATTGTGGGCCAGCATGGTTTGGTAGTTATTACAAGAGAGGGAAACAATCCAAATAAATTCATCTATGAGTCAGATTTGCTTACAAAATATCAGGTAACCAGATCGCCTTTTATGCCTTATTTATGTTCATGTAATTATGTTGATAGTACAGGGTGTCTGGATGAAAGGTATCCAAAATAAAATAATTATATCTCAGAAAGCTTTTATTATACACATTTATGGATTACACCACTACAAGGGAAACTATCAAAGTGTTTTTTTTGGGGGGGGGGGGGGGACNGTTGCAACTGTTATAATAAATTTCAACATGGGCTTCCTTGGTGGCATGACAAATATCCAGATGATCCAGCATGTTTGGTGTTACCAGAGCCACAGCATCCCTTATGCGGGCTTTCAGGTGTTGCAGGTCATTGTTCTTAACCTGGTAGACAATGTTCTTCACACAAACCCACAAGAAAAAATTCATTTGGGTTAAATCTGGCGACCTAGGAGGCCCAGTGATTGATCCACTTCTGCCAATCTATCTCCCAGCAATCACTCTGTCCAAGTGATCCCTAACATGGTGGCAGAAATGTGGCGGCGCATACGCATAAGCCGGACATGAAAAAAAAAGAATTACAGGGTTTTCCTTTCTGATGACATAAACCAGATACGTGTATGACAGTTACTTTCCAAGATATAATTTTTTTTATTTTGGATGCCTTTCATCCAGACACCTGATATATACACTATATACAGGTGTTAACTAAAAGGGTTACAATCTTTAAGGGGATATAATCCTCACTTAAATGGGCTGAAAAGTTTCAATCAACATTATGCCCAGAAATCAGTGCAAGCTGAGATATGGGCAAGTGAATGTCTAGTTAGGCATCTTAGGTGATCAACTTCTAGGACCAGTTGTCTTGCTGAACCAACTAAGAGATGCAGTGTACCATCATATTTTTGATGAATGATGTACCAGTACTCTTGGAACACATACCACTTCATCAACAACAACACATGTGGTTCATGCATGATGGGGTACCACCTCAGTTTCTCCAGTGTCAGACAGCACCTGAACCAGACTTTTCTGAACATTGTGTAGGACATCAAGGTCATCAACTGGCCAGCATCATCCCCAGGTCTGAATCCTCTGGATTCTTAGCTCTGGGGATACCTAAAAACTTCTGTGTATTCAGCACCATTCAGTGACTTAAAGGTATTACGGCAACAAGTAGAGAACACCTGTCAGGAGATTAAAGTGAACCCACAAATTTTGGACAGAATGCGCACCTCTGTGTGATGAAGAGCTGAAAGTTGTGTTGAAATACGTGGGAACCACATGCAGCATCTGCTGTAGAGATCACACGAACTTTGGTCATATCTCAGTAGGCACTGGTTTCTGGACATACATCGACTGGAACTTGAATGGGGAAACCACTTGTATGACAGCTTCAACTGTAGGTGGTTTTAGATTTTGGTCCATTTGGGACATGGGATAAGTAATAGTATATAAACTCATAAGTTCTTAAAGGAATATAAATTCTAATGGCCCTCACAGATTCAATCATTCAGTTTTGATATATTTATATTCCTCAGAGTAATATAAACATTGTTACTGAATGGATAACCAATGAGGTGAGCTCCACGAAAATCCGGCGAGCCTTGAGACGTTCAGAGAGTGTCAAGTATCTACTGGAAGAGTCCGTTATTGACTACATCCATAAACATGGACTGTACAGCACTAAGGATAAGTGAGTACCCCTCTTTATTGCATTACATAATTCATCAGTAACCTCTCAGACAGCAGGTCCACAGTCTTTTCCAAAACAGTTCCTCCACTTAATGCAATCTAGAGCTTTCTCTTTCAAATAAAATATCCCCTTCTGTCCCCAAGGTCATCCAGCATCTTCTTACGTCTTCTGGATCTCGTATGCATGGTATCTCTTTTTTTTTGGAAAGAGACTATCCAAGAAAAGTGATAATGTGGTAGTTTTTCCATTTGCTTTCCACATCGCAGTACAACAGCCATTCAAACCACTCTGGTCACGCCTGTTGCTATACGAACTTGAACCATCTCGAGCATCATTTGCTCTGTGCTTCAAGTCGCTGTTGATGACGCTGCTTCCGGCATCAGTTTTTGGTTTTTGGTGTGTCTCTTCGTCTGATGCCTACCCTTTGACCTGTCCAGCAAGGGAGGCCCTGCCAGTAGCTACGCTACTACTGGTATAGCTCTCAGGGTCCTTGGCATACTCAGTGCTTATGTACAATACTTGGAACCTGGATAGAGCTAACTTGGTGTAGCGTCTAGGCTGTGAACTTGATAACAAAGGAAGTGAACTTTGACTCCTGGAAGGGGCAAGAGATTTTTGTTTTTATTGCAGCATTCAGATAGCCTTGGGGCCCACCCAGCCTCCTGTGGGTATAAAGCTAACCACTCATTTCCATCTTCTGCTGAGGTTAAGAGAGAGTGGAGCGGTATGCACCGCGATATGTCATCATCACTTAATTAAGCACATGGACAACTTTTTACAATCAATACTTTGTTATTCTATAAGCGATTTCTGTTACAGTGAATTCCCAACTTAGAGTCACTGAAAAGTCATTAAAGTAATGCAAGTCATGCTATCAGTTTGCTTTCAAGGCAAAATATAGTTTGCAAAACATTTATACAAGTATATTATGGATGGTAACATTTGTGACAGTTCAGTGCAGTGCTGACTGCAAGGCCCTGACCTGCCAGTGAGTTGTGTCAGGTGCATTTAAGTCCTTTATGGTGTCAATTGTGTCACTTTTCAGTCACTCTATAGGACATTTCACAGTAACACACTGAGTGGGTTGGTATAGTAGTAATGTTCTAGGTATGTATTTGGGAGGTTCTTGATTTCAATATTTGCTAGGATGCCAGCTAACCTGACTGGGGGTTTTCATGGATTTCCTCAGTCTCTACAGGTAGATACTGGGACAGAACCTCTGTTAATAAAGTGCATGGCTCAAATAGGCATCAAACATTGTTACCTGTCATTTTTAAAGTTAAAAGACATACCAGGTGGCATAGTGATCATATTTGAATAATCGTCCTAGGCTATGGTGACTTCAAAAAGATCATTCATTTGTTTATTTGTTATGTAGGTAAGTTAATAAGTAAGTTACAAATTGATATAGAACTTAAACAAATAAGAGTACTGATTTGGAAAATGCTTTTATTTCTCAGCATAATCTCCCTGTACATTGAGGCACTTGTCCCATTGTTTCACAAGCCCCTGAAGACCAGCAGCAGAAAATTCTTTGGGCTGCTGTCAAAACCAGGCATGTTCACATGGCATGGCCTACCTCATAATGCATGATAGGTTAGGTTTTCACAAAGTCTGCACAGTGGGTGCCGCGCATGCTGACCCCACAACACAAAATGCAAAGTATGGGTCTGGCATTACAGCCTCTCAATCGCTACCACGATGAAGGACACGATATGCTAGCCCGAATTGTCACAGGTGATGAGTGTTGGATTCATCATGACCAGCCCAAGACAAAGGGTGCGTGAATGCACTGGAAACATCCTGCATCACCTGCCAAAAGAAGTTTAAGGTGACACCATCCTCCAGGAAAGTGATGCTCACAGTCTTCTGGGATCACAAAGGCATACTGCTCACTGCATTACAGCCTCAAGGCGATGCAGGATGTTTCCACTGCATTGATGCACGCTTTGTCTTGGGCTGGTAATGGTGAACGCGAGACCTGTGACAGTTCGAGCTAGCATATCGTGTCCTTCATTGTGGTAGCGATTGAGATGCTGTAATGCCAGACCCATTTTTTGCATTTTGTGTTGTGAGGTCAGCATGCACGGCACCCATCGTGCACAGACTTTGTGAAAACCTAACCTGTCATGCATTATGAGGTAGGCCATGCCATGTGAACACGCCTGGTTTCGGCAGCAGCCCAAAGAATTTTAGGCCTCTCGTCCACTGGAAGCGGAAAGTTGCGATGAGGAGTTCGTCCGAACACACACGGAAACGGACGAACGATCCTAACAGCTTGCATCAGGTTAGAGTGCGTCCATTGGTAGCAGCACTATTCGTCCGTGAACGCGCGTATACTTGCGAACTGCGAAATATCCAGATTGGTTTGGATTTTTCGGACGAAGAGCTGCGTTCACCACCTACGAACTGATACTGTTCAACCGAGAAATCTGTCGAGTAGTGTTCCTGACATTGCGGACGCCTGTATTGAGACAGGCACTGATAATATTACAACACAAAGTGAATATAATGATGCATTTTCTACTCCAGATTTTCAATCAGATATCGAGAATGATGCACCTGTAAATACGTCTCCGGCACAAAAAGAGCATTTCAAAAGTCCGCTAAAAAGAGGAAAGAAAAGAATTAATTACGATGACAAATTCTTCGAAATAGAATCTAAAAAGTTGAGCTATTTCGAAAAGAGCTCTCAAATGAAGCAGGATAGTGACTATCAATTTCTGATGAGCTTGCCTGAAGAAAGACAGCTGCGATTACGCATGAAATTGATGGATGTTTTACTGCAGGAACAGGAGGATCGAAACAGCAGCGTGATGTCCACGTCAAATGTTTCGCCTCTATCCCTTGAATCGACACGCAGTTCCCATAATAGTTCCCACAGCAATGAATTTGTAACAGACAAGAACAGTGCCGCTGTGTATCATAGTAATTTCGATCCTTTGTAGAAACAACGGTTTGTATGTAATCACTAAGAAGCAAGAATAATATAACATCGATGTAATATTTTGTTTTCTCAAACTCTTATCAAATCCTTAACTTAACGTTACAGCTAGGCGTTCTTCAGGTGAAATAGTTTCTCGGAAGTTACTGTACTTCTTCAACTGATATACTTTGCTTAATGTGTATTCAAATGTATCTTGCTTCATGCGAAAATAACCAAAATACTGTGACTCGTCCTCTTGTGAATCACTCCATACATGAGAAAATTCATCAAACGTTTGTCTTTTTGGTAAAATTCCACTAATCCACTCTTTTCTCCTATTCTGTGCTCGTCACCTAGCCAGTAAAGGAGTATCAAACGCGTACAGATCACATAAATCTTCAGACAGCGCCATGACAGAACGCGAATGGCATCGGCCGAACACGCAGCCAAAGGACGCGCAGTGAACGCACGAATTCGGACGAACAGATTCGGCCGAATCCCAGTTCGCAGGTTTCTGCTTCCAATGGACGACTAGCCTTATGCTGCTGGTTTTCAGGGGCTTGTGAAATGATGGGACAAGTGCCTCAATGTACAGAGAGATTATGTTGAGAAATAAAAGCATTTTTCAAATCAGTACTCTTATTTGTTTCAGTTCTATATCCATTTGTAACTTACTTATTGACTTACCCTCGTATTTCATGGTGTCCACAAGCTTGGTTGAATATTAAGATGTAATTGGCTGGCCATGTCATGGCTGAGGAAGTTACTCTCTGGCTTCTTGTTGCAGAAGCTTTGGTTCAGTCCGATGATATCAGTGTTTGGTTTGTCTTGGATAAAGTGTTACTGAGTATTTCAGTGTGTTACTTTACTAATGCCCAGTACTCATCTATCATCCAGGGCTTATACAGTAGGCTCACTTGAGGTTGCAATACTGATGAACTCAGACTCATCCTACATCTGTGACCAAGAATGAAGGCATGATAGATTAAATCTTGCTGATACCATGAGTCTGAGTGTGAGTCATATGTTATGACCTACAGTCAGGTGGCCAGTCTATCTTGGAATAAAGCAGACATCTGGGACTTACATCCAGATTTTTGTTACTGTCAGACAGTTGCAGGTTTTTTGATATGGGGCACTGTCTCTGACGAGAGGACGGGTCTGAAGTTTACAGTTGCTCCTGGCCATTGCCAGCACAGTCATTTTCAGGTCTGAGTCCCGTGTGACTCGTGACCATATCTTACTGTCTCAGATTTGAGACTTCCCTTTTCATCGCCTCCTACGAATCACAGGGCTACAGTGGAGGTATTCGACCTCACCTCCACACAGGAGCTAATTGAGCTGGCCTTATCATACCATGAGTGAGATGCCTTAGCTAATATTATTACAGTTATTACATGAAAAGACTTCAGTTTTTATGTTGAAATTGGTGATGATGAAAATTAAAGAACTAATTCCTTGTGTTACATGTAACTGATTATATTGCCTCTGTTTTCAATGCTTCCTTTGCCATTGCTGGAATTTCATCAATTGGACCAAAACAGTAAGTACAACTTGTATCCACACAGTCAGTCTCAAACTAGTATCCTTACACCTTCCCCAAGCGATGTAAATATGGAATCTCCAACTCCTATCTGTAATTACGGGAAGTATGGTTCTTCCGAATCAATAGCTGTTGAGCAGATGACTTCAGGCACTCGGTTAGGAGGATCCTCACTGCTGAATGGTCCGTCAGGCTATATTCATTTTGAAAAAAATGAACGGGAAAGAAATGAGATGGATTCTCGATATGCAGAGAAAATTGGTAATGAAGAAAATTCTAAGAGATCAGCCATAACTATGGGATATCCAGGTCAGGCTGTTCAAGTAATAGCAACACAGAAAGGAAGTAACATTATGCATACTGAAAAGGTGAGCATGGACACACATGATACAGCAACAGTAACAGCAGTCACACAGGAACCTGTTGCAAGTGTTAAAATTCATATTACCAAAGATGGAATCAAGGTCATTAGTGATAAAGAAACGACCGTGTAGTGCGTGCTACTATAAAAAAAGAAACAACTTTCTAAACATCTGAGATTTCCCTGGAAGTATATATTCACTGCAGAGTCTTTTGGGTGTCATACTGTCTCACACCTCAGTAGCTGACTCCTTATACTCGCTCCTTCCTCTGTTTGTCAACATTATTACTCATGGTCAGTCCTTGAAGGATGACCATCCGGGAACACATGACCACAGTTATATCGAGTTTCTTACAAATCACAATTCATTGCTGTCTGTGTTGTTCTAATATAAATTTACTGACTACTTTTTCATCTGTGGTAATTTTTACTCATTCAGCATGGCGACATCCCCAGCAGATGCTACAGTGAACATTGGTGTATAATGATTCTTTACAACCTGTGAGGACTATATCTTGTTGCACTACTTCCCTTTGTTGCCTCCCTAATACAGTACAACTTAACTGATTTAAAATCAGTAACAAGATCTTCCCTTTGTGAATTGACACTGAAGGATGACATTCTGGTTTTCATGACAGCGAATATTAAGGCTGCAGTCTTCTGCCGCGTGACGTATAGTCTGTTAGACCCTTACCAGCGCTTCAGGGAACATACTTCCATTTTCAGGGCTGCATAAGTGATTTGCACCTTGAAGGTGGAGGTAGCAAGTTCCTCAAAAACATTGGTAGCCATTACCAGAGTACATGGTGTCACATTCCAGAAGACAGCTGTCTTTGACACTAAAAGACGTTACAAACAAATAAAAGTGAGAATACCTCTGTAATAACATATTGGTATAAGAGTAATTCAGTGTCCTGTATTGTTTTTTATAAACAAATGAGTAAAAGTGAACCAACTCATAGTACAGGGTCATCTTAGAGAAGTTTATAATTATTCACCTAATTATTAAATATTCTTCTATTATGGAACCTGAAGGTATATCACCATTGTGTTCATAAAATCCAGGCATTGTATTCTAACCTCAATCAGCTCAATACATTTCATATCTAACTTCACAATACACAGTCCTTGAAAATTTGGTAGTGTACACTTCATTTCTGCTGCATGTAATCATACTTACTCCTGTCTTAGAGCAGGTCTCATTTCAGTGACTGTGATATAATAAGTAATACACTCGTACCTTGAACATATAACTTGACCTTGTCCTTTAAGTCTGAAAATTCATAGGTCAAGGTTCAACTGTGTAATATAATGTTATGTACAGTAATTTTGATGGTATGGTTATTGATATTCATTTCTGTAACTGACTGACTGGTATATATGTACACAAGCACAGTTATCAGGTCAGCTTTCTGTGCAGTTTCAGATTTAACCACTCTAATTTCATGTCCTTCCATTACTGCGCGACATGTTTAGGTGTCACAGGGACCATCATCATGTGAGTATGTTGCTGCACATAAACTGTTACACTGTTAGCACACTGACCATATGCTACATATTAAATCCTTTCTTTATTGAGTGCACAAAAATTAATTATTTTTATTGTGCTCAAAGGTTAAAAAGTTAAAAGTTAAAAATTGAAAGGTCACATATTGTGGCATCTCTCTTAATGTCATGTATTTGTTTGTTGATGATGTGTGCGTGTATGTCTTAGTATGTGCAGTTGAGTCTGATCCATGTGTGTGTGTGTGTGTGTGTGGATTGTTTATGTGCAACAACATATGCCTCTGACAATGGTTCTTATGAGACCAAAACATGTCTTATAGTAGTAGAAGGATGAAATAGGATTGGTTGAACCAGAAACTGCATAGATAAATACACTGAAGACTTGTGTTTGTATACATACTATCCTCTTTCTCTTTCTTCCTTTCTTCCCTCATCTCGGCTTTCTGTCTGGCCGCCATTTGCTCCAGACGTTCCATAAGTTTTTCCATGTCCATGTTGTAGCAGTCGAATACTCGATGCACAATAATTCAATTATTTGTCAGGCGTGTTTAAGTTCGTAAAAATTCTGACACCAAATTATCACGTGTTTTGAGTTCGAAGCTCGTCGGTCACGTGTGTAAGTTCAAATCCCATCGGTCACGTGTGTAAGTTCGTATCCCACTTCTGACACCAGTGTAACGTGTTTGCGTTTCTGAAGATGCCGTAGAGATGGTTAATTGGTTTATTCAACAATCTACAAGAAACGGCTACAATTAATTGTCACACAGTTGCGGGGTTTCACACTTTATAACCCTAATCGCATTAATCTGTTAACACTGTTGCGGGGT